TACCTCATGGTGTTTCACTAATAAATTTTTTTTAAAGGGCAGTGATTATATAATTTACCAGAAGTAAATGAATGTCACTTTCACATTTTTTTTTTCTTTTTTAGACCAACCCAGTGATCAACAACACCCTCTTAGGCCTTATATTCAGGGATTACTCCTGGCCAGGCTTGGGGAAACATTTTGGGTGTCGTGGACCTAATTCAGGTCAGTTGATTTCATGCAAAGCAAGCACGCTAATGACCATATTAATATTTCAGCTAAATGTCACCACTTCTCTTGGGAGACAATTCATGACTGATAAAAATGATTTTCTAGTCCCAGGGAAATTCTTGTTTGTGAAGAAGTTTATGTGTCAACATAATGTGTCAACTTGTAATAAACAGTACAAGTACTAAGATTGCTTGAGATTTTTTTCAGGGCCTCTAAGGGAAGGTACTGTGTCTGGAAAATGAGTTGGGGAATACTTTAGAGGAGATGACATTTAGCAGTGAGTCTCCAAGTACTTGAAGGGAGGGAATACAAAAATATGGCAAGTTAGGATACTGGTACGATAATTTAACATGGGTTATATGAAAGAAGTGGCATGTCCTGATGCCAAAGAGGTAAGTTAGAAAGACATGTGATCATATTTGTTGATTTTCTGCTTACAATTAAGGATAAACTTAAGGCATTGTTGTCCTGAGTCTACTCTGGGAAGAGACTGTAGATGATTTGTAGAAGTAAGTCTGGGCCCTGAGTTCTCCACCTAGATCTGACCCACTAGTGAAGGAGTGGCCCAGCCTAGCACTGTAGGAGCCATCAGTTGGCAAGCATTATGACTTAAGTATAGAAAAATTATAGACCAACTTGCTTACTGTAAGAACTCATTTTTGAAGTTGATAGTTTATTTTACCATCCAAGTCCCAAGGGTAGAAAAACACATTTTAGGTGTAAACCAAAGTGTGCATATAGAGGTATGCTATGGTGTTTGTTGTTGATGTTCTTTTTTTGTTGTTCTAGTCTTGGACCACATCCATCTGTGCCATACCCATCAAGGCATACTCCTGGCTCTGTATCTAGGGATCACTCCTGGAAGTTCTTAGATGAACATATGTGATGCTGGGGTCTAATCCAGGTAGGACTTATGCAAGTCGAGCACCTTACCTGCAGTACTATCTGTCTGGCCACTCTGTTCTTAAAGAAACAGAACCATAAGTAGTTAGTAAGCAAAGATTTTATGCAGTCAATAAGTATGGTTATGGTTTGTTTTTGTCAGTGATACAACATTTTCATCACAATTACAGCAAATATATAACAAATCAAAACATTATGAAATATTCATAGCGCATTCATGCTAAGATAAACATTGCAGAGTGTTGTACATGCATCACTACAGGGCAAATAGGGCACAGGAAATATTTTCACTCATCTCTGTTTAGTGTATTTTTTCAATGAGACTTACATTATGTTTGGGTCAAACAAAAAACCCAAATAGAATTTATAAAAGTTTACAAGCATTAAACATTTTTTAAAATCCCACAAATGAATAAACCAAACTACTATGGTCAATGATATACAAACCAGGATTAAAAATAGTCAATCTGTCAATGTATAGAGTTGGTTACAATGTGACAGATTTTGATGAGTTTTCAAAAGCATCAACCTTTCTAGACAAGGTTCTAGAAATATACTGGGATGATTTCTGGTAAAACCAAATGGAGTGCCATTTCTGTTTAAGTCTACTTTTTAGTGTCAGACTTGAGCATAGACAAAGTAGGGAAAGGCAGAGAAGGGTTGGGGAGGTGAGCAGAGCTCTATGGACAGATTTACATACCTTTCCACGTGCAAGTTCAGACTTAGTAAAATAAAATATATTGAAAATTTAACCTCCAAGGTGGGTGTTTGTACAAAATTCCCCACTTAAACAGCATAGATAAAAATGGTAGTTGAGTACTTCTCAAAATGAACTCCTGTATGTTAGAGGAAAACCCACTGCTAAAGTTAAAGGATATCAATATTTGAATAACTATAAAGATAATATCGAAAACGGGAAAAGATAGGTTTTATAAGTGTTATTGAAACTAGTAGGAGAGAATATGTATGGAAAAGGGAATCTGAATCTGCCATGTCACTATGAAGTGCACTTATTCATGGAGAAATGAAAATAAAATAGTAAAAATTTTAAAAACCAAAATTTATTATATCTAGGACATGAACAGACAGAGAATTGCTCTGAATTCAGAAAATCAGTGAAATAATTAAAATTACAAACCACCTCTATAAAATACTGTTTTTTTGAAAACCACAGTAAGCCCCTGTAGTGTACTTAATTTGTCCTGGGTCAAGAGTACCAGCATGTAGAACTTTTCCTTGCACACAACTGGCGAGTCTTCAATCAATACCTGTAGTACATATAATCCCTTGAACCACGCCAGGAGTGATCCCTGAGCGCAGAACCAGGCGTAAGCCATGAGCACCACTAGCGATGGCTCCAAAACCAACATAAAATAACTAAGTTGAGAACACACAGACCCAGAAAGGAATCATGATTTTACTATGGGGATAGGCAGTGCTCTTTTGTATTTTCTGTTTTATAGTGGCAGACAAATGAAAAAAATCAACAAGTGTGCAAACATCAACGTAAAAAAATGTTTCCCTTCTAACAGCAAAGAAGTAAATGAATCCATGCATTTATAATTGTGCAACTCTGTTTATAATCTTCTTTAATCATCTAAAGATAATTCACTAAGAACACTTTATGCACAATAAATATTGCAAGGGCACAATAAATTTAATAGGCTCTAGATATGCAATATAACACTGAATTCTGTACACAAAATACCTGTCCACATCGTGATAATGAAGACTTGAAAAATTCTTTTTCTACGAACTAATAATGCCCTTTGAAAATCAAAGTTGCCTCACCAATCCTTGGTTACTTCACTGTGACACGCAGTGCCACAAACATGGTGAAAAGTGAGAATCAAACTTAGTTTCAGAGTAGTTTTGTATATTGTTTCTAAACAATCGGGATAAAAGATACAATTTGTATCAACAAAAGGTCATTTCTGGTTTTCTATGGCATTGCTCCTAGCTGCTTTTTTTCATACACATTTTATGAGTGTTACTTGCTATTAGAAAATAATATATACAAGTTCCCTTAAGTATTTTCTGTGTTGTGAATATTTGACAGTATTTTGAGTAAAATATCTTCTAATACATTCACAATGAGGATGTCAGCTCCCAAGAGTAGTCGTGTGCTTTCTTGCGTTATTGTCTGGATATTGTGATACCATTGATTTTGGTAGGAAGATGAGCTTCATAAAAGTTAAATATGGGGGTCTGGAGCAATAGCACAATGGGTAGGGTGTTTGCTTTGCATGTGGCCGACACGGGTTTAATTCCCAGCATCCCATATGATCCCCTGAGCACCGCCAGGACTAATTCCTGAGTGCAGAGCCAGGAGTAACTCCTGTGCATTGCTGGGTGTGACGAAAAAAGCTAAAACAAAAACAAAACAGAAGTTAAATATGGGATGATTCTAGAAGTTAAAGGTGTTGAAATTACAAAGAGGACTTTATGTGAAGTAGCAAGCACTTCATGGGCAAATGTCAGTATATTATATTATAGTCTTAGAAAGCAAGCTATGCAAGCCATTATCTAACTGCCAGAAACAACCCTGACTACAGCCTCACATTCAGCGTTTCACATTAAGAAACATGTATAGGCAGTATCATACCTTCTTATGAAGTAACAAAAGGTCAAAATTAGACCTTCTCAACTTTCATGTAAAAACAACCATAAAAATTAGCAAGTTCCAGCCTCCCAAAATAGTGAACTGGATTCAAAAAGGGAATCTGTTTAAGAATAGCCTTAAAGCACAACAAAAACAAAATGAAATACCACTTTGTGGAGGTATTTAGTTATAAAGTTTCCTACCTGAGCAAGAAACAAATGACACACATATAGTGCTGCTTATCCCAACATTCTGAAAAAATTATGTGAGGGTAAGTTCAGCCTTAGATTTATATAGATTTAAAAGGGCAGCTATTAACAAAAATGTGGCATCTCTTTATGAAAGTTCATTTTTTTCTACCAAGAAAAGTCCCTGGTTTTGTTTCTTAAAGAAATTCCACTTCACCAATTTTTGACCTTAATGCACAAAGGGTGTATAGAAGGGAAAAAATGAATTATGTAACTGTTCGCTGACTTCCATTACATTCCATCCGGTGGTGTAGAATACTGTATAGAAGTCCAAAGAACATCCATTAGTCCCTATATGAGAGCAGTTTCTGTGTTCATTTAGTAACATGTGAATTTAATTCTTTTGGAAAAAAGTAAAGTCTTACAAGCATAAAACTGGTTTTAAAAATCCTTGATTTTGAGGAAACAATGTTGCACTTGTGTAGTAAACACATACTATTCTTGAGACTTGAGATTATCCATCTGCTGAAGAAAGCTGCCATTTGACCCATTATTTTCTGAAAACAAGGGACTTAAAAATTAAGAAATATCAATGTATGCATAAGTAAAAATTACAAAGGAAATAGAGCTGGATTTTTCTGAAATCTAAGAAAGCAGTGTTATAGCAGTAGCATATAATTTCACTTTCAAAAGTAGCTCAAACTATAAATGTGACATAAAATAATGTCAGATTTGTGATCTATGTAACTGTGGACCATGGACTGTGCAGATTCTATATTCTTACTATAATTATTTAAATGATTATTTTGAACTATATGTACATCTCAACATACATAATCACATGCTATTTGCTAACAATGGGTTTGAAATACAGTACTAGAAGCCTTGATGTGACTCTATAATGTAGCTAATATAATATTTAATGGTCATATATCCATGCAACAATGTTTTAAATATTATTATTAAAATATGAAAATATTAATTCAGCCTATCTGATCCTGATACTTTGATTCTAAATTAGGTGTATCATGTATATTTTGTAATATAGAATGTGACCAAGAAAACACTGCTAATGGAAGCTCTTGGGATTTCTTTCATTTAAGCCTCTCTTCCTGGGTTTCATTCTCCATCACCTGCATGCTGAATTCCAAAATGGAATCAGAGTCTGGAAACTTGGTTGTGAGTTCTAACTTTGGCATTTTCTAGCAGTGTGATTTTGGCAAGTCATTTAACCTCACTGAGCTTTATTTTTTTTTTACCTAGAATAAAGACAATAATGGACTGACCCCATAGGGTTAATATACATTTCAGTGCCATAAACATAGTGCAACAACAAATGATTAGTTACGATTATCATAATATTAGCACATTATTGGTATTAATGTTCATATTTGTATAAAGAAGTCCTGTAGTCATGTCAGCGTGCAGACCTAAGCTTAGAAACAATCAAGGCTGCCAGTTGCTGGGCATCAGCTGTGTGGGGATTCTTCTCCATCACTGCACGAACAATGTTTGAGGGGAAAATATTGCAGAGGTTCTTATAGGTCTGATACTGATGCTCAGGAATCATATGTTCCCTGGAATCATTGCATGTTCCAACCCAAGAATTCCTCCAGAGCTGCTCCATCTTCTCAGGAACACTCCTTACCATGAATGGCTCATAGCATGGTTGCATGAGGCTGTTACTTAAAGGATAGGAGTGGCGGCCGTAGGAGTCAGTTGCAAAGGGCAGCGGGTCCCAGCTGGCATGCTGTTCTCTGCATAGAGGATGTCGTCTTTGCCTAATAGGGTTGCTCTCATAGAGGCGTGAGTCAGAAATACTGTCCACCCTAGTCATCACCAGGGCACGTCCTGGCTGGAAAGTCACGTCAGGATTGATATTGGGAGGTATGGGGTAGTCTTCAGGATATCTGGAGCATGTTCCAGTTGCTGACTGCTGGGAATGCAAAACTAAGTGGGAAACTGACTGATTCTGGGGTGCTTGTTTTGAATCTTCTGGGCAATAGCTCTGCACTCGCGTTAAGGCTTCTTGGAAACCATGTGTAAAAGGCTGAAGATGATTTTGAGATGCTGAGCGATGCAGTTTTATATTGCCTTCACGATGGATATCAGAAACAGCCAAGTACAGATTGTTGTAAGAGGAAAAGTTGTCATTCCTGGGATGACTAATACGACTATCAGGACAGATGTTAGAATTTCGGGAATATATCGCTCGGTCTGTTTCATCTATGTAATGCTCTCTATTATGCATGCTGTTGGTATTCAGTTTGGAGAAGTCATCTAACACTGAATAATAGCCTTGATCCCCTAAGGAATCAAACTTTGAATACTGCTCAGCATAACTAATAGAGGTCCCATGGCTATTAGTAACCAGAATGGGGGGATACTGCATGCTATCCATGTGTTCCAAAGAGGCCTTTTGGTGGGAAAAGTGAGAAGATCCTGGTACTGGACTACTGGCCGAACGTGTATTAAGTGCACCCACTGCATGGTTTTTTTTGGGTAATATTGTGGGGACACTTAGGGCAGTCACAAGTGAGGGGACAGAACTGGTCTCAGGTTTATGGGCAGAAGAAAGCCATTCCTTAGGCTCCACAGGCACAGACCAAATACTGGGATCTGATTGGTGTTTGGAGGCAACACATTTGACTTCTGAGGTTATTTCTCCTTTGGCACTATACATCCCTGTGCAATACTTGGCCAGCATGCCTTCACTCACGGTCTTCACTGTGGATAATTTGGCACTGATGCGGAGCTCATCAGCAACCGAACGCTGAGGTTGGTTAGCCCTCTCTGGATGGTAGTATTTGCACTTGTGGCCATAGGTGCATTTTTTGCCTGAAAAATAATGGTTTGGAGTCAGACACGAAGCTACGTTAACAATTTGGTCATTCGTGTTTTACTGTTTAGGTTTAACGCAGAAAATTAATTGTCTATAAAAATGAAAGACAGACAACACCAAGGAGGCATCACATAAGGAGCAAGTAGAAAGCTGAAGAGAAAACTGCAGTATCAACACTAAAAGCTGAGAAGTTGAACAACGTTCATTTTCCTGAAATTTACAACTTTTCATAGGTATAACCTCCTGCAGAAAGTAGATGTAGAACAACAGAGGTTAAACTTTTTTAACCTCAGTAGTAGCTGACCCCTTTTCATCCATGGATATGAATGGATTATGGAATATGGAAGAGCGCTTTGGAAACACCTTGGATTAATTACATGGTTGATTTTGCAGTCAGAAATCTTTACTCACGCTAAGTGAAATGAGTCAGAGAGAGAGAGGGACAAACAGAATGACTCCACTCATTTGTGGAATATAAGGTAGCAGAATGGGAGAACTAACACCCAAGGATAATAGAGATAAGGGCCAGGAGGATGCTCCATGGCTTGGAAGCCAGACTCACATGTGGGGGAAGAGGCAGCTGGGATAGAGAAGGGGCCTCTACGTAAATGATGCTTGGATGGCTCACTCGGGATGGGAGATGTGTGCTGAAATTAGATTATAGACCAAACATGATGGCCACTTACAACCTGTATTGCAAACCATAACACTCAAAAGGAGAGAGAGTAAAAGGGAATGTGCCTATCACAGAGGCGGGGGGTGGGGTAATGGGGTGAGGGAGGTGGGAGGTATACTGGGAACATTGGTGGTGGAGAATGGTCACTGGTGAAGGGAATGGGTACTGGATCATTGTATGACTGAAACATAATCACAAAAGTTTGTAAGTCTGTAACTGTATCTCATGGCGATTCACTAAAAATACAAAAAGATATATTTTGCTGTTGACATTGTCTTCAAGTTCCCCATATTTAGTCTCACAACACAATAATGGATCGCAACTCACAAAGTTGCTAAAGTATAGAGGAGTCATATGGCATCACTGTACCATGCTGCGAGTATAAGATTCTAGACGATTTAGATTTGAGTTTCAATTTCTGTTATGTTACTTATTAGCTATACGGTCTTTTTAAGTTGTTTTACTTCCTGAGCCATATTACATGTTTTAAATCTTGGGTTATAACCACGTCTATATTCTATGATCATTGTGAAGATGAAATAAAGTTAACACACGTTGATTTGTGTGACTTACTTATTTTAATCATAGAGTTGGGATACTCTGATTTTGTTTTGATTTGGGGGCTACTCCTGGCGATGCCCAGGAGTTACTCCTGGTTTTGCACCTCTCTGATTTAAATAAATGTTAAGGTACACAATGTGAGACAATGCATTAACAAAATGATAAAATAACACGATCGTATATAGAAAATTTTTTTTACAAGATTCAATACCCATTTATGATTTAAAAATCAGTAAAATAGGAATAGAAGAAATATTCCTCAATGTAGAAAAGGTAAGTGTAGAAAAGCAAACCCACAGGTGTTGTTTTTTTAAATTTTTATTAGTGACAAACCAAGAGGTACGGTTGTAGACTTACAAATTTTTGTGCTTGGGTTTCAACTATACAATGATTAAGTACCCATCCCTCCACCAGTGCCCATTTTCCACCACCACGGATCCCAGTATCACTCCCACCCCCATTCCCCCATCCCACCCTGCCTCTGTGGCAGGGCATTCCCTTTTGTTCTCTCTTTCCTTTTGGGTGCTGTGGTTTGCAAAAGAAGCATTGAGTGGCAATCATGTTTGGGCAGACCCACAATTAACATCATACTCGAGAGTTAACCAAAAGAACCGAAAGCTTTCCTCTGAGATCAGACACACAAAAAAGATGTCCTCTCTTATCAATACTATTCAATTTAATATTGGAAGTCCTTCTCAGAGCAAATAGACAAGAAAGGAAAATTAAACTTACTCAGATTGGAAAAGATAAAGTGAAATTATCGCTATTTTCCAGTGTCATATATGATATACCTAGAACATCTTAAAGACTTCACTAAAAATTGCTAGCAAAAATCATTAACTTGACAAGTCACAAAATCAATATATAAATATCTGTTGGGTTTCCATATACAAATAACAAACTAGAAGAGATAGAAGCAAGAAAATAATACCACTTACATTTTCATCAGAATGAGTTGAGTATGTGTGAATTAATAATATTTTTAAAAGAAGCTGAAATACATGTACACTGATACCGTATTTCAGACCTATTGAATATAAAAGTAAACACTGTTAATATGGCCATCCTACTCAAACCGTAATATGATTCAACATCATTCCTGTCAAAATCCAAGTGATACTCTTCAATGAAAGAGAAAATGTCACTGAAAGTCAAATGAAGCACAAATATTATTAATATACAAACCTATTCTGAGACAAAAGTAAAATGAGAGCCCTTACCTCATTCCTTTAAACCTTATTCTACAAAACTGTAGTAATTTAAAAGTATGTTACTGGAGGCAAGATAGATATAAATGTCAATGAAAATGAATAGAGAGCCCAGAATTAAATTCTTACATAGAAAATTAATTTATAACAAAGGAGACAAGAGCTAAACATGGACAAAGAATTTTTTAAATAAAAAGTGGTGGGGAAACTAGAGTACATGCAAAAGAGAAAATTAGATCTCCATCTTGCACTATGCAAAAACGTTAATATGAAGTGAATTAAAGCATTGAATGTTCACGGTTCATGGTCCTCCTGTTATTCATCGACTTGCTCAAGCGGGCCCAGTAACATCTCCATCTTGAGAATTGTTGTTACTGTGTTTAGCATGTCAAATATGTCAAAGGTAGCTTGCCAGGCTTTGCCGTGCGGGCGAGATACTCTCGGTAGCTTGCCGGGCTCTCTGAGAGGGGTGGAGGAATCAAACTCGGGTCAGCCATGTTGGCTGCGTACAAGGCAAACGCCCTACCACTGTGCTATCACTCCAGCCCAAAGGATTTAATATTAAATCCAAATATCAAAAAATCTACAAAAAACACCTCTCCATACACCACCCCTCCAGCGTGGTGCCAACTTCCTTCATCAGGTGTGTGGACTGCCCTGGTCGGTGACCGATTGCCCATACATGTGCTCCAACTCCTCCCAGAATCCCGTGTGGACCCCCCTACCACTCCACCAACTACTCATCCAGAACAATTTCTAAACCCCAAACCACAAAAGCACAAGAACTTATTTTCTCTGCACCACACATTTGAGGTACTATTTATCTCAGGTCTCACACATAACTATCAATAAGCTATGGCAATGCATATAGATAGCCTTATTGCAGGGGCCATAACATACAAAAACAGAAGAAAAAAACTCCAAAACACAATGGTCACTATGGTAAAACAACGCAGAAACTCACCAAGCCTAATGATTGAAATTTTAGCCCAGATGAATCGGTGAGAATGAGCTCTATAACCTTTCAGATAAGGAATTTAAAATAGAACTTTTAAGAATGTATAAGGAATTCAAAGAAGCAATGGAACACACTGCTTATAAAATAAAAGATTGTCTGAAAGCAGAAGTGAGGAAAACACAAACAAAAACACTAGCAGAAATGACAGACCTAAAAACCTTGGTTGGTGAAATGAAAAACTTTAGTGGAAGGCCTCAGCAACAGGGTCACAACTGCTGAGGGTAGAATCAGTGAGCTCCAAGATGAGGTGCAGATAAGTTGAGGTAAAGACTCTCCAGACAACAGTAGAAAATGGAAAAGAGCCTCAAAATAAACCAACAGATGTCAAGAGAAAACTGGGATGAAGCCAAGAGGAATAATATAAGATACACTGGAGTCCCAGACACACAGAATGAAAACGTAAACGAAGAAGAAACTGTCAAAGTCGTCATTGCTAAGACATTTCCAGAGCTGAAGACCACTTGTGATCAGATCCAGGAGGCCAGAAGGGTCCAGCTAAAAGGAATTCAAATAAAAATACTCCAAGACACATCCTGATCAGAATGATGAAAACCATAGACAGAGACAAAATTCGGAAAACAGCAAGATCAAAGAAATTCCTTAGAAAGGAACATCCTTAAGATTCTCACCAGACCTATCCCATGAAACCCTAAGGGCCCGAAAAAAGTGGTGGGATATAGTAAACAAACTCATTGGAATAAATGCTTCACCTGGAATACTTTACCCACTAGACTCTCATTCATATTGGAAAGAACTACTCACAGCTTCACAGACAAAACACAACTCAGGAACTTCACAGACTCAAATCCATGGATAAAAGCACAACTAAATGGGCTATTTTAAGACAAGACAAGGACCCCCCCCAATACAGCAAACTTTGGCAGAAAGATTGGACAAAACCCCATAACAAAAATTTCTCTCAATGATGATGGGCTAAATGCACCAATTAAAAGACACAGAGTGGCAGGATGGATCCGAAAACCAAACCCAACATTCGGTTGCCTGCAAGGAACACGTCTGAACAGGTAGAGCAAAACCAGATTGAAAGTGAAATTATGGAAAAAATGCTCCAAGAAAAGAGCTCCCTCAGAAAAGCAGGAGAGGCCATACTAATAACAGATCACATAGACTTCAGACTGAAGAAGTTTAAAAGAGATAGTGAAGTTCATTTCTTAATGATCAAAGGATCTGTACACTAGGAAGAACTTGATCTCCTAAATGTATATGCAATTAATGAGGAAGCAGCAAAATACTTAAAATGACTCCTCATAGACTTAAAGAAAGACATTGACAGCAACACAATAATAGTTAGAGATTTCAACACCACTTTATCACCTCTCAATAGATCAACAAGACTCAAGCTCAGCAAGAATATACTTTATCTGAAGAAAGAAGTGGAAGACAGGAGTCTAGTAGATATATATAGAACATTTGATCCAAAAAACCTGAATGCACATTCTTCTCAAGTGCACATGGTATATTCTCCAAGATAGACCACATGCTGGGCCACAAAACATACCACCATAAAATTAA